GGTTTATCCGGATCTGATTCGTTTCGGCAAGAACAAATCTCACAATCAAACTTCATCATAATTAATAATAATTTGATATCTCGTGGCTGTCGAAAATCTCGAACGTCTCAACTGATCCTCTAAAATTTTTATAAATCGTAGATGTAGAATCATTAATTGGAAATAACGGCAAAATTAATTGGCAGATTCTTGCAAGGTCGAAATCGTTGGAAATTTTAAAGGCATCATAATTCGATCGAAAATCGCGACACGTAACGAAGATCTCATTGATATGTCGTTACATCGAGGAAAAGGAACGAGGAAAATCGAAAAAGAACACTGGTAGGAGAACAAACACGGACCGCATTCGAAGTTGGGGAAATAGTAGACACGGAAAATTGTATAAATTCGAAAGTTAAAATTTCGTTTTAATTCTATTTGAGCCGGCCGAACTGCCAACTTTTCCCAACGAGTTACACGCGAGAACGAATTCTCTTTGTCGAAAAGAATGGCGAAAGCCCCCCTTCCAAACCAAGAGAAATCATCCCCCGGAGAGGGGAAAGACTCGCGTGTTTTAAAAAAAATCTAGCTGCTCCGGACAAGGCGAAACGCGGGGCTCGAAAGTACGAACAACCCCCCCGTGCCCCGCCCGATGCTCAACATCTCGCTTTTTTAATTATTCAAATTGCCGGCGAGAATTAATAAATCCCATTAGCTCGTTAACACACCGTTACGGAAACTTTCTTCGTGCCTCCGTGTACGGAAGAAACTGGAGGAACTTTAATCGTCGAGTAAATTCACCCTTAGCGGTTAACGTTCCACCCTTGGAGAAAGAAAAACCACCTCCTCCGAGGTGGTGTACATTCTCCCTCGAATAGGGAGAAAGCGCAACGTATTTTATACGTATTTTCTTTTCTTTTTCCTGCGTCGAAGAAAAAAATCAAGAGCCGTACGGCGCTGCAATTCGTCTCGAACGATCCCTTTATTTTCATTTTTATAAATAATAATAGTAATAATTTATTCGAAAACAAGTTTTCTCTCTCTCTCTCTCTCTCTCTCCCTCCAGCTTCTTCAAACTCGGTTATTTCAAATTTCCAGCAACGCACGAATCGCAAAATTTCCAACGTGACCCCGAGTAACGTTTACCAATAACGTTTAACGGCTCCACTCTCCCTCCTCCTCCTCCAGATTTCCCTCGTCGATCGCATCCGAAAATTTCTCTTCGTTCCCCCGATCGATATCTTTTCACGGAGAAATGTAACGTTTACCCTCGCCAATTTTGAGCAAACGCTCGTACACCGGAATTTATTATAAAGGTAAACAAAGAGAGAATAGGTGGAATCGTCCGTCGAGATACTACGTTGCGAGCATCGATATCGGCCGAGGGCGGTTTCGATCGCGTGGAAATCTCCTCGAACGGTAAATCGACAACGAGAACGGATCGGATGGTTAATTTTCCGCACGTGCGACTTTGCCTCCTCCCTTTGGTTTCGTTCACCGGATGCAGCTTGGACGGAATATAATCGCTTTGGAAATCGCTTGTTTCTTATCGAATTTAGTTATTCGTTCAATTTTTCGGCAATTTGGATTACATTCGGAAAAGAAGACAAGTTCGCAAAATTATAAGGTAAACGCAAGGTGCGACTCTTTATAGTCCGCTTTATTTCTTTATCTCTCTATTCTGCCACGATGATAAATTATCCTGACTTTTAAACAGTTATATTATCGTTATCTTATAATTTCCAAACATTCCTCTTTAAAAGGTTTTCTTTTTTGAATTCTCATGAATTAGAATAAGATTAAATGGCAAAGGAGTATCTATTACAAATTGCAATAGCATTTGAAGCCACGAATAAATGTTCTTTTTTCTCTATTTCTACGTACATATATTTATATTTATATTTATATTTTTATCCGCTTGTGAAAGATTGGAAAAAAAATCGTCGCGCAAAAGTTTTGAAAATTTATCAATTTTTGAATTTAGAAACGATTATGAAATCGCGTATCTCAACCGTGTGTTTTGTTTATCACGTTGCGGCGCACCGGTAATTATTAGGGAATTTATGAAATTAACGCAGGATTACGCAGGATTAATGGCCTGATTTTCATTGCTGATTAATGTAAATGCGAAAGCAACGGGTGTTGTTAACATTAATAAGAGAGCACGAGAGAGGATTCCGCCTCTTTATTCTCCCAAACTCGTTATTAAATTTGCGGAAACACGATTTAACTTGTATATACATTTCAGGAACGTTATTCCCGACATTTGTAACTATCATCCATTCCCATAAAAATCCAAAACGATCTGATTTATATCGGGTGGTCAAAAGTCGAAAATCAAAATCAAAATTCCAAATTCTCGTAATTCAAACGTTTAGATCCTATTCCTATAGAATAATTTGGACGATCTTGAAATTTGGCGATTTTCAAATTTCTTCAAAAAAAAAAAAATAAGAAGAAAATTAAAGACAGCGGTGCGTCGAAATGTGGAAGAAAAGGCGAATCCGTGCGATCGAAAGCCACTTGTTGATCTGTATCGCGAACAGTGATTCATTGTTCCCATTGACAGCGGGCGCGGAATAGGAAATTCCGTAAGTGCGAAGGAACACCGTTTAATCCTTCGATCGCGGCGCGTTTAACTTCCTCTGGTGATCCACGAGAGGAGGATCCACGGAGGGAAACGTTGAACGAGGTTTGTGAACCAGCTTTCCTAAAACAGGTGGGTGGAGTTGCACTTCTGTTCGACGTACACCCACCCGTGTTTTTGCGTCGCCTCCACCCTCTCCGTTCGTTCGAGTACACCGTGACGTTAAAAGGGACCACTCGCCGCTTGTTCTATCCTTCTACTCGTGGATACGCAAAGTGGACACGCATTTGATTGATTCCTCCGTGGAATGGAAAAATCTTATCGAAGCGATAAGATGGGAACGCGAAGTAGGGACGATAATTTTTGAGAAAAATTAGGCAGACGTTGGGGTGGTTCATCGCCATGTTCCATTCTGCAGTGGCAGCCATTTTGACGGAGAGATTTTACGTTCGAACGGTTTCACGCTTCGATTGGCCTAACGAAATTTCATCACCCCGACAGCCACAGCCGTGGATTTGATCGTACAAACATCGGCTTGTGTCCCATCGG